CCCCCCCCCCCCCCCCCATATACGTACTGCTTGATTCCATGGTGGATAAGAATATCTTTGTCTTTGTTCTTTTAAGGTTTATTAGTGGGAAGGGGATCTTTGTTTTTGTAAGTGGAAGATGATAGTTGTTTTAATACCAGAACAACTGTCTATCTGATGTGAGGACTTCTTAAAAGGTGAAGCCAGAAATTGTGCTGTCAGTTCAGCATGTAATTTAGGGTATTTCAATTTCAAGAAGAGGATCGTTTATGTTTGGTAGCTGAGCCTTTATATTATGCTTTGCCATGAATTCATGACATTTACAGTGCAGCAGACACCAACATAACCAGCATAAGCAGTACTGAGTGGTAGGGCAGTTAATCAGAAAGCTGTTTAATCTGAGGTCATGTTCTTTGCTTGGAGAAACAATAAGTAAGTGAAAATTTAAAAAGAATGCAGCATATGGTGAAAAATCATCTCTGGCATAAGCTGTCGATAACAGTGATTTATCAGTTACAGGTACAATGGCTGTAATATTAATATTATTTGACTTATTAAATTTAAAGTGGTTGGTCTCAATCAAGCACACTTCAGCTCACAGGCACCCTTGCACTAGATGTGTTAAACCTAGATGTTAGATGCTATAACCTCAATAGCCAGTTAACCTTATCAGTGACTTGTAATTTAGTTCAACAACAGGCTCATCTGGTCCGAGGTCCCTGTAGCATGGAACTGCCTGCACCACTCCATCCCTTACCACCTTTCACTATATGGATTTGCCACACTCGCCAGCTGGAGGAACATTTTGTGTTCTGATAATTGCACATGCCAGAAAACTGCTCAACAATGCGCAACACAAATCTTGCTACAGGTTTTACCTCAGTCCTGTTGGCCCATCATCACTTTAGAACATTTTCAGTAATTACAAAGCACAGGTTACCCAAGGATCATGTTTTAAAGCATTAATCTTGGCAATTCTATTGGGAAACAGTTATGTTTTCTTTAATGTTGATTTTTAAATGCAACCTTTAGTGCCATATAGTGATACTATGTTGCATTCCATTATCATCATTAGTCACGCAGCAAAAGACTATAAGCATTTTAACATGCAGCTTAGCTTAACTGTTATCAGATTACTTTACCACCTTGGGCAAATCCAACCAACATCTTGTCCAATTGGCAGAGCAGTAGAGTATTCTCTGAACTATATAGGGTCATGCATAACAGGATGTTTACACTGAATTTATTAGTGCATTGTTAAGCAGTGAGTCTGCCATGAGTATGATGGGTCTGCCTCTACCTAACCTCACTTAATACATCACACATCATTTGGCTGTGTGGGCTCTTGATTATTGCAATTGGATCTGTCAAGCACCATATGTTATTAATGGTTCTGATTAGATTAGAAACAAAATTATTTTCAGATGTTTTTGTTGAACATCATTGGTTGCAACAATATACATGTTTATCAATGAGTGATGTAATCAAGAACCCATTTTACAGTCATGGATTTAGAAGGTGTACTTTGCCCTTGTTTCCATTACTTAACATTTCATTCTGTTTAATTTAATATAATAATGTTGCTTTATTTCACATTATATTATATATGCATCTTTTATTTTCCTTTGATTCTAATTTATTAATTACTTATTTTTCTTTTTTCACATTTTATAATTTGAATGTTGGCATCACTATAATACCTCCCTTTTTTGTCTTGTCATCTCTTGTAAGTGCTTATATTTTCTTTGGTTATGTTGCTTGTGTGTTAATTAACTTCTGCCTTAACTTTGTGGCAGAAGTGAGACTTAATAAATTTGTTGTTTTGCATAGAACTAAAGTCTGAAATTAAGGGAGGCTTTGGTAACAGAGGAAACAGATATTGTTAGGGTTGGAAATTGGTCATTACAGAAGTGTGGGTTCACAGCCAGACCAACTAATGGGGTTTGTGGTGGACAGAATGTTTTTGTGTGGTTTTTTCTCTGAATTCTTTAGTTTTCCCTGTCAGTATATTTCACTGCTGTTCTGTATTCATATAATATATCATCTTGGGAATGCACAATGGGCTTATTAGCAGCCACAGTTCCACAGAGACGTACTCTTACCCCATCAAATAACTACAACAGTAATGAAGATGATGTGAGTTTTGGGTTATGTTAACAGTTTCTTTTTTAATTAACTATACTGAGGGTGCAGGTGCTGCCTCACTATATTTCATTGGTCATAAAGCAACTCTCTTGCTGGGGTTTCCTTCAGTTTGCAGCAAGATGTAAAACAGAACACAGTCTTCACTCTGACCAGCTCTCTTAACTTGCAGGTTTGTGTGTGAACACTGTAACTTATTTCCACCAGGCAGAGGGATTTTGTTTGCTTTGGATTTTCTTATAATTACTATTTCTTTTGCTTTCTCCCCCCTTCACCATCCTTACCTTCTGTTGTTTGTTCTGTTTGCTTTGCACTGTGTCTTTCTGTAAATGCTTTCAATGTCACTGTCACCTCCAGTGGATTCCTGCCACCTGTGCGTGCCACCACCATGTGTGTCATGTCGGGTGGCAGCTGTGCGCCTCTGTCACTCTCATTCCAGTCCTAGTCTTCCCTCCCCAAGTCATTCTCTTACCCTACCACCAGTCCCTAACACTCTCACTGTAGACCAGGGTTCGGCTGGTGGTACCATGGTGGCAGTGGGTGGGCGGCGCCACCGCCACAGTATCTCGGGCCAGATGAGCTACTTCAAGATGTTGGGATTTGGTCCTGTGGTGGTAATGGGAGCTGGAAAGAAGATGTCTGGAGCTGGAACTGGTGGATCAACCAGCAGCCTGTTCAGTACAGCTGTCATCAGTGGATCTTCGAGTGCACCTAATCTGCGAGACATGATTCCCAACTCTGCTTCTGTTTCAAGTAAGAAGTTAGCTGTTCAGCTGTTCTTCTGTGGAGTGTTTAAAATTTTATATTCTTGCTAATTTACATCTCTGGGTAATGAAGCCAGAACATTCAGAATTTGATGTAAAAATTTTGTAGAGAACTGCATGATAATACCCTCTGTGGATGAGCATAATGTGTAAGGAATTTCATATTTAAAGTTAATAAGTTACACAAGGCCATACATATAACCACACAACAATAACAGTGATGATGACTTTACCACATCATATAATCTATTTTTCAAGAATACATCATTCCCACATTGTGATCTACTTTACTAAAGTACATTCGAATGCCACCTGGTGGAATGAAACAATCAAATTGGTCATATTTTGTTTGGTAGAAGAAGAAACTCAAGTATAGTTAGGTTATAGTAATGGTCAGTGTCTGCTCCAAAACTCAATAGTGTTTGCATTCCAGATAGGTGTTATCTGCATATTACAAATATCTAACTTACAGCTGAAGAAAGAAACACACATGCATGCATACACATTCACATACATACAGATATTATGACATCAAACTTTCTCAAACTGTGTCTTGGAGATGAGACAATGATGTCTGTGTTTCATGCCAGCAATTGAAGGATGTGGGGGTGTTCCACCAATCAGGCCGCTGGAGACCCTACACAATGCACTGTCTCTGCGGCAGCTTGATTCGTTCCTGGAGGTCATGACGTCTGCCCCGCTGTTCCGAACGCCCACATCTTCGCCTCCCAAGAATCCATCAACACCTCTCCCATCTACTGCATCAATGCAACATCCTCCTCTTCATCTACAGTCACCCAGCAGCAGTGAGTATTCTTATTCATTTATAGGTATCTGTTATGATTTATTTTAATCAGGATCTGCTTTATGCTGTAGGTCACATGATTTTAAACCACTCTGACTGAGGTCTCATAATTTTCTTTGGTCATAGTGGTCCATTCACTGTTCTATAATGTGAGTATGAAGATTTCTGTCTTCTGGGTTGTTGCGCTGTGTAGTCTGGTAGATGTTAAACGTTGGTTAACATCGACCAGACTACACAGCGCAACAACCCAGAAGACAGAAATCTTCAGTACTGTATTCTTAAATGAATAAAAGATTACTTGAGTCCCTCAAGTAAGAATTAGAACCTGCATCATCAACAGATCTAATTATGATGGGTGGATAATATTGCTTTCAAATGTGGATTTAGTTAACGGAAAACAGTTAATAATATAGATTACCTGAAAGAAGTTTAAAATATTTGCAATCAGAATTATGTTCAGATGTAGTGGGTTCAAAAAATCCTCAAAATAGCCAGTGTGCACTTTCTCAATGAATAAGATTTTGTTCCTGTCAGTTTTCCAATTTTAACCATATTACATTAAAAATTAAATGGTAAAAATAACAGTCTTGAATGCAGAAATGAGATGTGGTAAAGGTAAAGTTGTCCCTGATGCTTAACTAAGCACCACACCATGAAGAGGTGGAGATATAGCTTCACACCCTGTCCACTTTACCTCCAGGGAATGAACCACAGGTATGCATTGGATAGTCTGCATTCAGTAGCCAAGAGAAAAATATCTAGCCACCGTTGGGAATCAACCCTGGTTGACATGACCTGTCTTTTTTCAAACAGGTCTTGTGTGGAGTGGGCCTCCTTCATTTGTATCAAGCAGTGGGCCATCTTCTCCAAATGGGATGTCTGATATCTTCATATCACGTGGAACTGCAGAGAGCAGTGAGATGTCACTGTCAGCCAGTCTTATCAGTAATGATGGGTATGCATAGTTTTAACAGCTTTTTATATTGCATGATGTGAGCAGTTTTCTCATATTGTGTGTTGGGAGTCACAGACAATAATGTAACTAACGAGACTGATTCTGCCATCTTCTGATAATATATTAAATTATGTTTTCATGTTCTGTGCAACTGAAAATGCCATAAAGGAATGTCCTTAACATTTCTACAAAAAATACATCATATCTGAAGATAGCTGTCTTCAGGGCTGTTTCGCCTTGTAGTCAGGTTTCAGAGGTCCTAACCAGACCCGCCCAGGCCACTAACCACTACTCTGCCCTTTTCAGGGCACATCCAGCCCTGGCCAGTGCTCCCTTCCAATCTCCTGTTTCCTTCAACTCCTATCTCCCACAGATCCCACCTGAGATTATCCTCCCATCTACGTCTAGGTCTCCCCAGTGGTCTCTTTCCTTCAGGCTTCCCGACCAATACCCATTGCACCCCTCTTGCCCCATCCATGCGCGCCACATGCCCCACCCATCTCATTCTTGACCCAGTCACCCAAACAATATTGGGGAAGAACAGGTCTGCCATTCTTTAATGAAAAGTAAAAACATGTTTATTTCTTGTTAGTTTCAAATGCATACTCTTGTTCAGAAACACCAGAATTGTATGAAACTTTATGTAGAAAATTCCAGCGTGCAACATAGGTGAGTAAAAACATTGACGGGGCAGTTTCCCTATACCAAATTTTTCCACTTCTGGCTTATTGCTTCATTTGCAGGAGTACTGGATCTTCCAGTTTGCTAGAAATTCATTGTAACCCAAAAATGCAATTAAGAAGGTGAGAAACTGATTTTTAACTCTCATTGGCCTTGTGGCGTGCTGTGAGTGAAGTACCAGTGTTGCAGGTATGGCGATCTAACTGCCACTCTGGCCAACATCTTCCCAACAATGCTCAACCAGGACCTAAGCAATGTGGGTATCCTCCTAGAGGGCAGCACTGACTTCTACCCACAGCCTCAGGAGGAGGAACCAAGACAAATTGTTGTGCCTGAGAATGAAACTCTTCTTCAGTTCTCAGTCACCGGTGGTGATAGTGGTGACATTACTCCTGTATCTGTGTCAGCCAGCTCCGAGTTTGACTTCACGTCTGCAGCCGATGGCGCTCCCCAATACAGTGGAGAGACAGAAGCCTCTGCTAGTACTGATGTGGATATTACAGTCATGGATACAAAAGACAGTGAGAAGAACAAGGCTGTGCAGGAGGAGACAGGCAGGTCGGGTGGGTCATCACTGCTTCTCAGGAGTGTGGAGACTCTTGGCAGGAAGGAGGCCACCAAGCTGGTAGGACAGTGGGTGCTGGAAAGCTCTACCACACTGGTGACAGTGGACCCCGCAGAGGAGGAAGACAGGACCATCACCTCCTCCATGACTGCAACCTCTCCTGCTCGCAAAACCATCTTCCAGGTAAATGTGTTTCGTTGACATTCCTACTATAACTTGCCTTAGTGCGATAGCATTTAACTGACAGTTTAGGGAAGAATTTGAGCATGTTTTCATTTTTCATTTAAATGCTTCCATCTACATAGAAATCTGAAACACTTCTAAATCAGTATCTTTAGTACAATCTATTTATTCTAACTGCTTTAAACTGAAAAATACACACTAAAATTAAATAAATTTTAATTATGCAATTTTCACCATGGACTTTGCTATTCAGTATAGAAGTTTACATCAACATTGTACTGAACCAGCAACAGACATTAAACAATTGTTCAAAAAGTGGCAGAATTGTAGTTTTTAGTACAAGTGCTTAAATTTTTCTAAGCTAAAATCGTAAATTAAGTGTTCACTGTCACAAGTTATAGTCATTGTGTATGAGAATAAGAGTTAATTTTTCTTCAGCCATTAGATCCTTTCTCTTAGGTTGAACTGTTGTTCTCAAAACCCTCTTCATAATACAATCTGTGATACATACTTAACCATTTACGGTACAGTTTTCTCCTCAACTCATCCTCCGAATGGGAATAAAAAAATGTACCAAGTGAAAGAAAGGGGAAACTTTGAAAGTTGATATCACACAGTGAAGCAATGATATATCATTATTAGCTGTTATCAGGAAAGTCCAAGATAGGCAGGAGGGTTTGCAATTGAATGGGACACATCAGCTATTGGCATATGCTGATGATGTGAATTTATTGGGTGATGATATAAATACAATGAAGAGGAACACAGAAGTTTTACTAGAAGATAGTAGACAGGTGGGGCTAGAAGTAAATTCAGAAAAAACTAAGTACATGTTAGTAGAATTAACTTAGGATGGCTAATAAATCCTTTAAAAGTGTGACAAAGTTCAAACATTTGTGAACAACTATAAGTTTGTCCTGCTACGTGCCATACAGGCGCTTGGGTGAGTGGAGGTATAGCTCCTCTCTTTCTTGACCTCAGCACTAGATGGGGGTGAGTGGTCAGCATCACGCCCCGGCCGGCTTTACCCCCGGGAAAGGACCCTGGTACCCATTGTAGAGGAGGCTGGGTGGGCTCCAGAGCCGGTCTGGACGCAGAAGGTAGAGGAAAAATTCTCTGCCCCTGTCGGGGATCGAACCCCGGCCGTCCAGCCCGTAGCTAGTCACTATACTGACTGAGCTATCCCGGCTCATAAGGAACAACTATAACAAATCAAAGAGTGCTGGGAAGACCTAGATGTAGATGGGAGGGTAATCTCTGGCAGGATCTGTGGGAGATAGGAGTTGAAGGAGACTGGATATTGTTGGTCCAGTGGAGAGCTTTGGTTAACAACCACACTCTGTGACCAAGCAGCTGATGTTCAGCACTGAACTGTTGCCACATGTTCATGTAATCCTGGTATCATGATGTTGCAGGTGTTTGGGAGCCCAGTGTCTAGGTATCAGTCCAGCAAGACAGTGCTGGGCTGTGCATCTCCAAAGCAATGCACGGCAGTGCCCATAAGGGAGGACAGCCTGGAGGTGTTGGAAGGGGGAATCCTGCAACATGTTCCCATCAGCGTAAGCAAGGAGTGCCAGCTGTCATCACCAGTTTCCACTGCAAGGGAAGGCAAGCTGGAGTCGTCAAAAAGTCCAGAGCACCACAGTCACACACCAGCATCCGTTAGCCCTGTGTCCTCCAGCCCTTCTGAATCATCACCTTTAAGGAATGCCACAAATAGACAGAATCTGCAAGAACCAAAACGTCCTCTAGTGTCTAGCTTCACAAAAGAATACAAACATTACACATCCAGTATTAGCACTACCAGGTCCCCACAGTCAGATTCTGGTGGAAGTACAGAAGGTTCCTACAAATCTGTCAAAGATCCAGAATCTGTAGGGAAGCTTCCAAGCAGTTTTTCTTGCTTTGGAGAAGATACATCAACAGCACTTGCAGCAGGTCTGGCAGAGGAAGGATTTGGCTCACTGAGTAGGCAAAGGTTTAGTAATGAGAATGGTGTGAGCTCAGAAGAGCTATTTGAAGAAGCAGTCCCAATCCTTACTCTTGCCAGCAGCCTTACAGATAATTCCTCCATATCTAGGGGCTTTAACATTATGAAAGATGAGGACAAATAGCAGAAAGTGGATTAAAATCCCCCAATTCTTGGATCTTACAAACTGTATGATGCACATTTTTCTTCATTTGTATGCAATATTTATTGTTTCACTTTATGTATTCTGTCATGAGGTCACTTACCCACATGCATCTTATAATAAGAAGTTGAACTTGTGGGTAAACAGGGCCCCAGAGACATTTTGGTAGCATGATATATCAAAGAAGTAAATAATCTGGTGACAACTGTGACATCAATGGCTTGAGAATGTGGAAGCTCAGTTGTGTTACAATATAAGACATGCCTACATAAGATACTTAAGTAGCAGTAGTTCTCCAGTTATATATAGGTTGCAGTGTGTGCACTTGGTTGTATGTCTTGACATTTGTTACTGCATTGTAAAAAAAAATTCTCATCCACACAGTGAACCTGTGGGCAGTACACAGTCCTGAAGCTTGATTTTAATGGTAAATGTAAGATGGTCTTATCAGTCTACTGAAGAAGAATGCACAAACTGAAGAGGCTGTGTTGAAGTAAAACATCATCCCTATTTTAAGAGTTTGGTTGCATCATGTTGGCTACAGTCTTGTAGTTCATAGTATTATTACTACTGCAGATGTGCTGCTGTCCAACAGATCTTGTGTTGTTCCATGTATGTACAATTGAGTTCAGCGACTTCTTTCTGCCTAATTTCTGTGCCTCATTGTTGTCATCCTTTGTACTGTTATGACAGTCTGTTTTTCAGGCATTATCAGTGGTGTATTTTTGGAGCTCATGTTGATCACTATCATTTCAGAGATTATGCATAATTGATAGCACTTATTTTTTTCCATTCTTCAAACACTATCATTTCAGAGATTATGCATAATCGATAGCACTTATTTTTTCCATTCTTCAAGTGTTTATAATTTGGAGGGATTCCATTAACCCTTATACAGATGCTTGATGCAGATGTTCATATGATTATATACCAACCAATTTTTAACTTTGTTGTTTCTTATCATCTAGGAATTATTGCATTGTATACCCAGGACCAGTTTTAAATCTGATATTCAGATATTCCAGATCATTAGAGTTTTGTTCATGGATCTGTATGTGTGAGCACTTCCCCTGATGATTATGTTTTGAAATATGTATGAAGCGAAAAGAAAAGTTTAGATTGTGGTCTTGTAGGTGGTATAATTGGCTAGGTGCTCTTGCTTGTTCCTCATTGCATTCATCTTCTGGTTGACTCCCATAGTCTGGAACCCGCCACTCTTGTTCCTTGTGGACCATAGTTAATGCCTTAGGTTTGGATGCAAATGAAGTGGCTCTCTGGTTAATTGTCAGGAAGGTGATCAGATTTCTCTGGGAGATGCTGGTTGATGTAATGGGAGGTGGTTTGTGCTATTCATGGATACAAAGCACACCATCGGAGATGTGTTCCTGCTATTCATGGATACAAAGCACACCATTGGAGATGTGTTTTAGTATTGTGTTATTCAAACACACACACCAACACTTTGAAGATAGAAAATGGTTAACAGGTGATTATGGGAAGATTTGCAGTAATACAGTTTCTTGTAGTTACATATACTGTCTTGCTATGCTAAATTTTGGAACAGTGGGTTTTAAGTTGAGGTAATTTGGAGATGAAACTATTTAGACTGATGTGTTTTAACCCAGTCTTACTGGCATACAGAGTTATGTCAGGCAAGGTAGGTGCTACCTGACAAATAGGAGTGTGTCAGGAAAGCCACTGTATGAACAAGTCACTTTAAGCATCTCTTCAAACATTTGAAATTTTGAAGGATTGTTATTGGTTGTTGGTATGCGATAAGATTTTAACTCTGTTGCATGCATCATTGGAACAGACATTTCTTTCTCTCTTGACAACACCATATTCTGGAATTACCCCCAACCACAATATGCTTTTGTCAGGTTGTTATGCACAAGTATTTCTTGTAATGTTTGTAGGTAAGTTGTTGACATTATGTCAAAGAGCAGTTTCACCAATTGGCAACATGTAGATCATCAAAGACAAACAGTATAGTTGGATGGGAGGAATGATGGTTTCTGCATTGTGGCAAAGGATGTTATGTGATAGGCATTCCTCATCGGCTAAGATTTGAAGGGTGCGAGGTAGAACAGGCACCCAATCTGTGGGACTGAACTACATCGTCACTTTAGCGAGTGCAGGTACATAAAGATCATTATAGTCTTCCTTTTGAAAATGTGTCTCATATCAGCATCAGTTTCCTTACCATATATGCCTGTCATAGTAGTGATTTAATCATGGCTCATTACTGCTTAGTTTATTCAAGCAGATTTTTGAAGGCCAAAATAAAATAACTTATGTCATTGTGGCCACTCTGTAATTATGCATCCACACTGGTCATAATGTGCGTACAACAGAGAAACGTTACTTTCGATGGTTGTACGGAGCAGATCTTATGTCATACTACCTCGTTCCCAATCCCCTTGCCTTCTTTAAGATGCCAAGATAAATGATGCAAACAGTATATTCTGAAATGTAGACTTTTTCTCCTAGACAAGAGGCAAAGAAGTGAGTTGAAGGTATGTTTATAGACCACTGGCCATAAATAGCATTGGAATTAAAATTGCAAATACAGTCAGTCCAAAAAGCTGCAGAACAGAATTGGCCTGCAGTCAGAAAATGTCCATTATGATGAGGGTGCCAGAAAGAAGCTCTTGTTTCATATAACATTTTTGAGGCATGTAGCATTAATAAATGGATGGTGCCAATTATATCGGTTGCCGTAATGTAGTTCTTATTGTAGGCCATACACATTCTAATGCAGGTACACTGTATTTAGAAAAGGAAAGCTTGTATAGATCTTTAAAGGTAGTTCAAAGCTGGTTGGTGCAATGGTAATGCCCAATTCCACAAAGGAGTCTTTCTTTCTAGACTGTGATTCTGGTTCATATGTTCACTGAAGTTGAGAATTTTGTTTTTGTGCTCTTTTATGTCTGTTGGCACGCTGATACCATCTGAATCAAACTTCATGCTGTCATAATAGTGTAACTAATATCAGTGTTGTATATAGAGTATCCTGTAGTTAACCAGGTTTGATGTCAGAGATCTTTGAACTAATCTGAAATGCTCTGCAAACCAATTAGTTCAAATTCCTTTATGAAAAATCATACTGGATTACATAATGTAACAATCACTTTAAGCCCCAAGTTACAGAGAAATGTGTTATGTCACAAGCCTATAATGAACAACATAGCTGTTGTAACCCACATAGAATAACCCGTGTACCTGAACAGTGGTGTGCAATCATTCGTGATATTTTTGTGATATAGATTGTCATCATGTTACTTAAAATGTGAATTATGATATTTTTAACTTGTAAGGTCTTGCTCTACAATGACAACGATAATGCAGTGTTCTGAATTGTGTATTTGTTTTATACCTTCATGACCCTCCTTCACCATTGACTGCAGGTATCACTTCTTCCCAGTCCTTAACAACTAAAACCACCTCCATGAGTTTCAGTAGCAAAAGAGTGGTGTGGGAAAACAAATTTTCTGAAATGGTCAAGATTGTTCATGCTCCCAGTTCAAGTGACTTGGTAAGATTGTAATATGACACTTTTCATATATTTTATTAGTTTGGTCAAATTTCTAATGTTAATGGGTGTGACATTATTGAGCACAACATTCAGAGAGGCACAAAACTTAAATAACTTGTGCATGAGATGTGTATATGTAACTTTAAAATTACAATGCCAGGAAATTACTTGGTTAAACTTAAATATGAATTTAAACTTATATATACCAGGTGGCTAAAAAATGGTAAAAATGAACACAACTAATTTCATGTACCAAAATATCTATTCAGTTTGGTTGATTTGTAAAACAGAAATATTTTCATTTTGAATGCATAAAATAAGAATTTTAATTCAGTTGCATTCATTATCAAAATTGTTACCATTGTTCTTAAAAAAACACAACTTCTTTACACAACCTGATTTATATACACAAATATGCTTTCACACATTGTAGCCACAATTGTAGTGAGAGTTGCAGCCAAGAAGTCCACAGCTGAAACTGGTATTGCTGATACAGTATGTAATTAAATAGTATGAAGATCGGGCAGTCAAGACAGGTGCACATACAGATGTGGCAGTGCTGTAAGCCTATATGACCTTCTGATGGAAAGAAGGTTATAGCAAAGGTATGAAGTTTTATATTTGTTCTTGAAAGGAAAATAACAACATAAAACCCGACCAAAATAAATGTACAGAACAAGAAATCCAAGATTAAGTTGACTAATGCTGATAAGGCCTCTTATGAAGAGGCTCTCCATCAAACATGTTCTGGAATCTACTAAAGCTTTTGAATAAATGTGCTCACATAAAGTTGATTCACATGGTTATTGTTTCCATATATCTAAATATATTTTTTGGAAAAGAAATTTTCTTTTTATCATCTGGCACCCTTTTTCTGAGAATGATATACATAGGTTTTTTTCAGCCATCTGCATTTCTGTTATTTGTAACTTTTCACACTTCTTGGTCTTTAATAGAAAGGATAATGCATCATTCTCATTCACAGTTGTGTTCCTGGATTATCAAAAGAAGCATGTTTTGTCAGCATTTCCCATACTTCACAAATATAATTTATTGGAAACTTACATGTCATGTCACTGGAATGCAGCAAAGTTTTTCATTATCATCACACCACAAACTTTGTGCATACTTCATTCTGAACCCAAATGTGAGATCACATCTGTGTATAAAATGATGACACCATATGATTCTGGCTTGGTATTCATTCAGACTTTTATATCTTTCAGTTTTTAATGCCCCTGAGGATCATGTACCCTTTCTGTTGAATTAATACACACAGCACTTTAAGGCATCCTAAATTTATTCCTTGTTATAATTACTGTTATTATAAAATAATGGTTTCACAATTGTGCATATTGCTGCAGTTACAGGAGATCAGTGATAGTAAAAAACAAACATAGCAGCTTATAAAACATTATCTTGAAAATATGCAGCCACATTAAAAACATGTTCACATTCTCATACAATACCCAGAAGCTCAGAGTGGCTAGGTCAGCACTTCTCTGCAATGTCAGACAATTAAGTTGATAGTGTGTTGTTCTGAAGCAGAAGCGTATGTGTATCAAATACTCTGTCCCAAATAATGAGAATCCCCAATTATGAAAAGTGTTCCAAGTCTGAACAAGAGTAGCACAACTGAAAGATGTTTTCCATTAATATAGCAAGGACAGTGAAGTGGACTTGCCAATACATTTTATTCTCTTTTTTTGACAGTGTGCAAGACCTGCCCCAGCGCTACCAGTTATC